GGGGGGGGGGGGGGAGAGAGGGGAAGGGCGACAAAACAACCGCGAGCTTAGCTCCAGTGTTCGGCTCGCATGGGATTCTCGTTCATCCTTTTCCTCCCTCTCTCGTCCACTCGCGCGCTGCTCCTCCACCCTCGCCACACGTCTGCTCCGAGTGTCCGTGCTCCCTGGTCCACATCTATCACATCTGTCACGACCAACATGCAGCACGAGGCCAGTGCGACAGACACCGCCTGCTGCGTCCACGGGACTCTCTACCGGCGCATATGGGATGCCAGGAGGGCCGGCAGAGACTCGCCTGCCTTCAAGGCGCTTTACGCATCGGACAGGTACAAGGCGGTGCTGGACTTCCCGAAGCCGTTGTGGGAGGGCGAGCAGACGGCCGCGGAGGCGCCGGGACCCAACGCCCAGTCGACTGTTTACTTCGACTGGTTTGCATTCATGGGTGAGCACAAACCGCCACCATCCATCCATCCATCGATATGCATTCCTTCCTCTCTTTCGTGTGTGCGATGCGACTGTTGGTTGCCAGAGAACCCTCCGGCGTATGCGCATGACCCCAACCCCAAGGACGTCATGATCCTATCGGGCTCATTCGAGAAGTACTCGATGCCCGGCAGCAGCCGGCAGCCCGTGATGCTCTACGAGGTCGACCGCCCGGGTGCGGAGGGCCTGATCGTGTGGGAGCCGGCGAGGGACGCCAAAGGATTCCCGCTCAATCCGCGAGGGCACACGGGCGTCATGGGCAGGGGCGTGCTCGGCCACTGGGGGCCGAACCACGCTGGCGACGCCATCGTCACTAGGAAGAGCCCCAAGACCGGCAAGCTGCAGGTGAGAGAGAGAGAGGGAGGGAAAACCGACAGACGGCAGGGATAACAGGCTGTGTCTGTTCTCATGTCGTGCTAAGGTGGCGTTGATTGAGCGGACGGACGGCAGCGGTCAGTTCGCCCTGCCGGGCGGCTTCGTGGACCCTGGCGAGTTCACGGCGCCCGTCAAAACCGTCATCAGGTGACCTTCCCAGCACATACATCCACACCCCCTCCCTCCCCCTGTCCATCGCCGCACATGGTGCCTTGTGGTCGTTGGTTACAGGGAGTTTCTCGAAGAAGCTGTGGGCCGAGAGAGCGCCAACAGCCGTGAGTGTCTGCAGGTGCTGGAACAGCTGTTTGGCCCCTTCGACTGGGACAGCGCTGCCGGCACCGTCACGGCCAAGGAGAGGGCTGAGGATGGCTCAGAAGTTTTCCGCTGGGGCGCACTCGTGTATGCGGGCTACGTCGACGACGAACGAAACACTGACAACGGTAGAGAGAGACAGAGAGAGAGACAGAGAGGGCGCGACAGTCTCTCACTCACCTCTCTGTCTGCGTGTGGTGTCGTGTGGGGGTGGTCATTTCATTGCTCGGCCAGCGTGGATGGAGACCACGGCGCTCCACTGGCATTTGACGGAGGAGCAGGGCGGCAAGCTCAAACTGCAGGCGGGGGACGACGCCAGACCGGGCTCAGGTGCTGCCTCATCACACACACACACACACTCACACACAACACACACTTTTGTAGACAGCCACACCCTTACTTCCTTCTGTGTGTCTGTTCGTGGTTGTGGTGTGTGCAGCTGCGTTCTATGACATGGAGGATGACGCCTTCCTGAGTGGGCGGGGCGTCCAGCCGCTGGAGAACCTCTTTGCGAGCCACTCCAAGATGCTCAAGCGGCTGCTGCAGCTGAGGCCAGACCTGCTGGCCAGCTGAGGGACGGGATGGTATGGCATAGATAGTTCAGATAGCCAACCGGCGTTAGTCTGTGTGAGTGAGCGAGTGACGTCGGTCGATTGGGCGGGCGTCAACCAGGATAGCTGCTTGTGTGGATTTTTGTGCGGTCTCTCTCTATGGTGACGCAAGGTGTGACATTCCATTCACGCGTTGAGTGAATTACATACTGGCCGTTGCGAGCGAGTGAAGTCAAATCAGCTCTCACCATTGATGGGATGGACAGATGGCCAGCCAGCATTTGTCTGAATGAGTGACGTCGATTGCTGCTGTGCGTCGACACAGCCAGCTGCTCGTATTTTTGTGCGGTCTCTCTCTCGCTGCAAGGTGTTTCATTCGTGTATCGGGTGAATTACTGGCCGTAAGGTGTGCGGTCCGGCGTTTGCAGACATGGACAAAATCAGCACTACTCAATACAGGCATACACACACACATACACACACTCACTCATGTCCGCCTGCCGGCCCCCTCCCTCCCTCTCGCGAGTCGTATTTCTACGCATCATGATGGAGTCCCTCCTCCCCCTCATCCATCCGTCCATCCATCCATCGAAAGTACCGTTTTTACGTTATGTACAAGATTGCCCCGGCCAGCCTCTCTCAAATGGGAGAGCATGGCCGACCGGACCAATCACTAACTCCGCACCAGTAGGTGGCACAAACAGGGCGACACATGGACACATGGACGCGTGGACACATGGACCGCACTTCACACCGACCCCCACCAACAGCCACCCATCCCTTCATGTGCAATGCATCCAGGCAGAGAAAAATCAACAACCGAGCGACAGCCAGACAGATGTACACACAGCAAGTGACTGATCGGCCGGCTCACTGACTCACTAACTCACTGCACCCTCCCTCCCTCCCCTCCCCCCTACTCATACACACCCACACCCACACCCCAGACACACAGCTAGCTAGCTACATTTGTTTGCAGGGAAGAAAGGTGCGTCAGTCACGACAATCGATCAATCATCTTCTCGGTGACCACGCCTCCAGGTACTTGACGACCAGCTTGGCGGCGATGGGGTGGATGGCCTCCGCCTGCGATATGGCCTGCGCCTTGTCCAGCCGCCCCTGACGCATCTCGTGCAGCAGAGCGATGGCTGCTGCACGCACGTTGCCGCCGCAGTGCACCAGCACCGGCTTGGGAGCCTCGTCAACGATCGAGAGTATTCCATCCACCCTTTCCTTGCTCCACTCTGGCGGGCTGATGGGGTAGATGAAGTACTCACAGCCCTTGGACTCGCACAGCGCCGTGTCGTCCCGGAACCCGGCCTCGTTAGTCTGCCGCACGTTGATGATGGACATCATCCGAGGCCGATGGTGGGAGAGGATGTTGTTGACAACATCTGCCGATAGCTGCCCGGCGGAGTAGACGCTGTCAGTGATGCGCGTGACGTGGTCCTCAGGCGTTGTTGTGAATGGAGACCACGTCCTTGTGGAAGGCCCGCAGGCGCTGAACACGGGGAGCTCGTCTTCTGTGCCTACGAGCAGCTGGAGGTGCTGACTGCGATGACGACCTTCCGCTGCCGAAGTTGAGTGGATGATCCGCCGTCGAAGCTTCACCGTCGGCTGATAGTGGTGGAGGGGGCCCCGTGAGTGTGGGATGTTCGGGAGGAGGAAAGCAGGGGATGCCGCAAGGCCAAGCATATTTGATTGGCTCTGCACGAGTGCTGATCCAACAGTGATGCAGGAGAGCACGGCCGAGACCAAAATGAAAAGCACTGCTCTTGCGTCCATCGAGGGAAAGCTGCAGCACGCGAGATCTCGAGTGGAATGCTGGAGTAGCTCGCAGATGGATCGCGGCCTGGGAGCATGCGCAAGTCTTGTCTGTTATCTGCGGCAGGGGTGACGCCTGAGATGCCTGAGTGAAGAAACGACAAAGATCTCTCTGACTGGTCAGTCAACACGGAGTGATACAAACTTGCACTCCCAGATCTGTGCGCGTTCGTGTGTTTGTGTGTCTGCAGCCATGGCGACGGGCGGCTCCTCTGACTCCCTGCAGCACCTCTTCTTCCCCCAGACATCTTTGGAGCGCTTCACATTCACCAACCCATCTCTGCCGGGCGGCCCCATCTCCCTGCAGTGCCTCCCAGCTGACGAGGGCCAGGTCAGCGTCATCGGCAAGGTCCTGTGGCCAGCCGCTACCGCACTGGCGCATTTCCTTATCGAGCACCAGTACTTTGTCCGCGGGAAGAGGGTGGCTGAGTTGGGATGTGGCATTGGCCTGGTTGGGATTGCTGCAAGGCGACTGGGCGCTGCTCACGTGCTGCTGACTGACGGTGATGCAGCGGTGGTGGCATTGGCAAGGGAGAATGCCATTAACGATGTGGTCGAGTGTGAGAGGCTCATATGGGGCGAGGGAGTGCCGGAGCAGTGGCGTGATGCCTTCGACGTGGTTTTGGCTGCGGACGTCATTTATGGAGTGGACGGGAGTGTCTGTGGGCCCTTGATTGACACGGTCAGCCGATTGGTGAAGACGGACGGCACAGGGAGAGTACTGGTAGCGGCGCATCGGCTGAGGTTTGACGTGCACGCTGACGTGTTCGTCGGTGCGGTGAGAGGTGCGGGTCTGCGGCAGAAGGAGCACCTTGTGCTGGATGAGAGGGGCAGGGAGTATCAAGACGGGAGGATTCATCTGTTTGTATTGGGAGTGGGCGACTAGTCTTGCAGCATTTAATACAGTGCGTGAAGCATTGGGCAGGCAGGCAGGCACGTGTGATGTGATGTGAATGTAAGCAACTGAGTGACTGCGACCCATTGCTACATTTCACCGACGAACGGCCATCCGTCCGGTCACCAGAACAGACATCAAACCTTCCCTGCTGAGCCTCTCTTCTGTCCGGCCTTGCTGACGGGCTGCCGACTCGCTGCTTTCCCGCTTGGTCGGCGGCCGGTGAGCGAGGCGAGTGACCGCCGCTCTTTTTGGATCGTCCTCCCCTTCTGCACCTGGTGCACAGGCAACGCGCAGGCAGAGCCGTCAAGACATGGATGGGATGGACACAGCAAGCTTACAAACACTACAATACCATACCAGTGCCTTGAGGTCTTCGTCGGAGAAGTCTCTGATGTTTCGTGGGGGCTTGGGCATCTTGAGGGGCGGCGGCGCCCTGACAGATGGGGAGAGTATGTCGGCAGCGTCTTGAGGTATCTTGCTCGCGAGGGCAGCCATCGACTGGTCGATGCGATACGACACACACACACACACACACGCATGCACCCATCTACCATGTCACTGTCTCTCTGTCTTTGGCTACCAGCACGTTTGTTCGCCAAAGGGTCACTTTCGCCCTCCATGTGCGCATGTCGTAGCTGCACTCACACACCGGAGACGACTCAAGTCACTTTTTTCCTTGCACACCCATTCGAAATGTCGCTTACTCAAATGTCTTAAGGTTCTCCTTAGCCTTCTCCCGCAGCAGCTCATCTCGAAGCTCTCTGCACCCACACCGACACCCACACGCACCCACACGCACACGCACACACACTCAGCCATCGAGTATCGATCCGTCCTCCTGCCTTGTACTGGCTGAGTGAGTTACGGGTCGATTCGCTCTCTCATGTAGACGTCATCATCACCAGCCGCCAGAACCTCATCAGTCTCCCCCTCCGGCGCCGCCCCCATGGTCTTCTTCGTCGACCGCCGCTTGCCGCCCTTCCTCGGTGAGCTGGAGGCTGAGTCTTCATCGCTTTCCCTCCGTCTCGTCGGGCTGCCCTTACTGCGCGGCGACCCGCCTGATGGCCTCTTGCTGGGGGAGAGTGCGGCGTCAAAGCCAAGTTGGGAGGGGCCTGTCGTGTCTCGTTTCTTGGGTGATTTGCTGCCTCGGTGCGGGCTGGTGTCTGGCTGTTGTTTTTGTTGGCTGCGGCCGAGGAGCGACAGGATGAAGGATTGCTCGATGCGGGTGAAGCGCTCGACGAGTCGGGCGCTGACCCTCTTGTAGCTCAAGACGGCGATGGGGAGGTTGTGCTGGAGTGTGCGGATGGCTTTGATGTGCATTGCGCAGTACTGCAAGGCGCGCCAACCCCTCTCCACCTTTGAGTTCTTGAGGAACATGACGATCCTCTGGATGAAGGCTCTCCGCCTTCTCCAGCGGATGAGCTGCCTGACCACACGGGTCACGGCGATGAGGAAGCGGAGGTTGCGCCTGGCCGCCCGTCGGCGGAGGAACCGCCTCCTCGCCATCAGCATCAGGTACTTGGACTGCAGCAGGGTGACATTCCTCACGAGACGCAACCACTCGACCTTCTCCTGCACGCACACCCGGCCAAGACACCATCCATCCATCCATCCCGATGCACACACGCACAGGCCAAGTCTCCCCCTTACATGTGCCTTGGCAGAAAAGGCGGCAACAGTAAGAACGGTCATCCACTTCCGCCTCATGAGCAGCTGCACGCGCTGCTCTGCCGCATACAGTGCGCTGCCTCGATACAGCACCGTCTTGGACCGCAAGTCGCGAGTCTCCATGTCCGACCGAAGCTGCCCCGTCCGCTCCTCATCGATGGCCTCTCTGCGCTGCCTCGCCGCCTCGCACCGGATGTGTGTCGGGGGAAGCGCGTGATGATCACGATCGCGGAACGAGGCTGGAGCCCCTGACCGAAGAGGAGGCTGCAAGAATCGAAACAGTCTTTGCTGCGAGCCGATGCAGGCAGGTTTTAGCATAAGCATGTAGATTACGGCTGACTGCGGCCTTGGCTTGCGGCGCCGCGATTTTCGTCGCGAAGGGGAGACTGACAGATCCGCAGGGGAATCAAGTTGTTGCTCAAGCCGGCAGGCTATATGTTTACTTGAGAGCCCAATTTCCAGCACCGGCTCCATCAGACACGAATCGAGGGTGCGGTAGAACTGCCACACCTTCAGCTTCTCCTGCACGCACAACCATAATCATGTCTGTCATTGAATGGATTTGATGATGTCTCCCTACCCCCATGGTCATTTGTGTCTTGAGTGCCCTCAGCGGGTTTCTGTCCTCATCAGGCTCCTGCGCAACTGCCTGCCGCCGCTGACGTCCCGATTGGGGTGGGGCCACGCTCATCCTCCGTCTCGCTACAGTTGCTGCAGCCATTGTGTGTCAGCCAGCAGACAGGAAATGTCCGTTCGTCTGATCGACTCTTTTGCTGCTGGTGCGTGTTTTCATGGCTCACACCGTCTTGTGGGGACTGGTGCACCGGACATCCGCATGGTCATCCGCCTCCCGCTCTCCAAACCCAGCAAAGCACCTGTTGCACAGACCACAAACACACATACAACAAATACAGACGGAGAAACGATGTCATGGCTCAATTCGCGCATGTGTCCCACACTTACAAAGCGCGTTGTCAGCGACGTCGAGCATCTCCTCAATGGCATCACTCGCCGCCATAAACTCGTCGGCCATCCCCTGCTCTGTGTCGACGTCTGCCCCAACCCCTGTGGCGAGCGACGGGAGCACGGGCTTCCGCCTCCGCCCACCCAGCTCCACCAATGCCACATTCTGCTCGTCGTTGAGCACGTAGTTGAGCCGCTGCACCATGTTGCTCAGCTGGTAGCCGAAGTACGCGCCAATGGTCTGGATAGAGCCCTTGCAGTGCCGCTGGGGCCTGCACAAGGGGCGAGAAGCCGCATCATCTGTGGTCGTGGTGCCGCTGACAGGGATGCCGTGCTGCAGCTTGTATGCGTTTCTGAGCAGCGTCAGCCTCTCAATCTCATCTCGAAGCTCCAGCAAAGACCGGAACGAACTGAACCACATACACGCAACAACAGCACCCACCGAACACTCGTGGGGCATGCGAGAGCTGGGATAATTTCGTACCAGAGGTCAACCCCCAGGCATTGCAATCGTTTGATGGCATCGACACCGAGGTCATTCGAGTCCTTCTCGCCTCCCCTCAGTGACACACACGTGGGCAGGTCCAGTCGGGGCAGCGGTATGGTGCGTGGGGGAGGCTGGTTCTCGGGCTTCCTGGCCGGCCGTGCTGCCGGGGGGGAGGCGGCACCAGCAACACGAAAGCTCTTGCAGCTCTTCAAACGGGACAACATTGATAAGATTAATCAATGAAAGCCGTGGGCTTTCTGATGCTCAAGCTCGGGAAAGGCGATTCAGGAAGGATGATCGTCGAGACGAGTGTTGTTGAATGAAGATCGGTGTTCTCGATGGAAGCTTCGAGACAACTCGACAGTTCTTCTCTGTGTTGGGTGCTCATGCCGATGCTGGACAGGATGCCCTCGTCAGTCGTCCTGAACCGATGAGAGCTTCCTGTCCATCAGAGACAATAGCACCCGACTCACAGGAGCGATAGATAGTCCACACACAACATAGAAACATGCCCGCCCCATGGCATCAGAAACGTGGACACAGTCACAGACAGAGTGAATCAATGAATAAAGAAAATCAGCCAGACCAAAACATGCCAGCAGCACGACACGGCATCTCCAAAACCTGAGTGCTCGACCATCCTTTTGATCTCCGCACCCGTCACGTCACAGACAGGCAGACAGACAGACACTCACGCATGCACGCGACAAAAACACACGCAGGTGGCTGCGCCGTCCCGCGCCATCCATCCATCCATCAAAAAGCCCATGTTTCGATCCATCAGCCGACCATTCCCTGCATCGCCTGCGCCTGCCAGCTCTCGCAGATCTCCTTCATCTTCTCAACGCCCATCTGCAGCGACTCGGGCTGGTAGTTCTCGATCTGCTTCTTGCCGGCGTCGCTCTTGGCCGTCCACTCGAGCTTGTATGTCAGTATCCACTCGGTCGGCTTGCCGCTGGGAGCAGGCGTCATGGCGTTGGTCACCTGGCCCTTGATGTCGGGGGAGTCCTCAGCCATGGCTGCAATCGCAACACACACGGATGGAGGAAACATGGGTGCATGTGCTGCCTCGTGTGTGTGGGGGGGTCTAGGTGCGTGGAGGGCGTACCGAATGTGATGATCTTGTTGGGTTCGTCGATGGTGATCTTTTCCTTGATGGGCAGTCCGCCGCCCAGCCGCATGCTCCGCACCAGCGTGTTGCCTTCCCTGCTCAGCACCTGCACGTCACTCACCGGCAGCCTGTCCAATAACGTACGACACACAAGAGAGGAAAGAAAAGACACGCCGGTGAGCAAGGATGGATGCGGGAGTCCATCATTTGCTCGTCGGCATGGCTTACGTCTTCTCCTGCGACCAGACAAGCGCACATGTGTGCAGATCAAAGTGAGCACAGATGCCCCGGGGAAAGTCGTGTTTGGTGGATTGGATGTGCCTCCTACCGGCGCCTCAGTCTTTTCCTCGAGTTTCTCCCAGAGGAGGGATGCGTCACACGCCACCTGCTGCGCATACTCGCATGTGACGCTGTTGTCAGTCCGCGTCGTGTGGGGGACACCAAGGGCAAGAGTCGCCATGGGCATGCTGCCGCTGCTGCTGCTCACAGCGCCTAACACGGGAAAACCTGTCTTCCGTCGCAGCGGGTTTGGGAGCACCCTAGCCCAATTTTGCGAGCTTATTGGCTCTTGCATCTCCCGTTCTTCCTTCCTCCTCCCCCTCCCGTCTGAGGAAGGAGGATGGAAAGCACATTCATAGAGGACACATCTCATTGATGTCCGCTGGAGAAACCTGAGACTGAGACGAAATGAGTCACAGAGTCTCCTCGTCTGGTGCGCACACAAGACCGACACGCCTCTCGCGCTCAACTTGGCCTCTCTGCCGTTGATTTCATTGACTGGATTGTCCTGGATTGTGTGCAGGGCTTGCCATTGAAGGCCTTTCTCTGTCCCGACCGCACACAACCGCCATGCCACTGCAAAGGCAAGTCGACAGCAAAGCGGATTCACACGTGCCTGGAATGAGGGGGGTGCATGGGATTCTCTGCTCTCTTCCTCTTTTTTGTTCGTTCCTCGGGCAGTGACAGTAGTCGGGTGTCGCAGCAGCTGCGGCGGATACAGGCAGAGAAGGAGGCTATAGAGAGGCTTGATCAAGACCTCCTCAGGATGCACGCCAGTAAGCCAGCCACCTGATGATGCACACACAATCGTGAGCGAGCATGACCGTCTTGCTGCATGGATGTGTGCAGCCCTGCGGTCGCCAGTGAAGCATCTCGAAGGCACCCGCCTCACCCGTCCCTCGCCCCCCTCCCACTCCGCCGAGCCCGTGAGGCGCCTCGATCGCATAGTGCGCGCGTTCGGCAAGCCTCCAGTACCACCACCAGATGTCCCCCCGGCCGTGCAGCAGCCGAGATGGGCGTCATCCATTGCCGGCCTGGTGTCGCAGAGGGGCCGTGGCGGCCCCTCTTCCTTCGAGGCGAGGCTGGGGCGGGACAAGTATGTGAGTCAGAGCAGGGAGAGGCGACTGCTGCGGAGGGATGTTATGGCGGGAGTTGAGAGCAGGGTCACCAAGTCACTCGACCGGCCGCTCAGCGTCATGGTGAGCGATGGGCTGAACGAGACAGCCATCAATCGATGCACACATATGTCGTCTGTTTATGGCCATCGATGTGTGTCGTGTCATGTCGTTTGTCAGGGCACTTCACTCACCGCATCTCCCCGCCCCCTCTCTGCTGCCCCTCCTGTCCTGCCCCAGTCAACGTCGCCATTGTCACCTTCCTCGCCCATCTCCTACCGGACGCAGCCGCGTGTTCGTCCCACGACGCCACAGACAGAGCCCGACAGCCTTTCGGTGTCACCAGACCGGCCCTCATTCAGCTCCCTGCTTCACTTCCTGCGCGAAGACGATGGTGTGACGACTGGTGCTCACCATGGACCTATGCGGCCGCACACGCCCCGCTTTGCTGGTGCGGATGAGAGCGATGGTGGAATGGGGGTGTCGGTCGACGGGCTGATTCCCGAGCCATGGCACACGGCAGCGGCAGCGGCGGCTTCATCGGACACTTGTTGGCCCCAGCAGCCTGTGCGTGTGGAGCCTGAGCCAGCATTGCGTGTGGAGGAGGATCGGGGCGGTTTCTGCTCTTCTCTGGCTGACCTGAGGGCCGACGAGCTGTGGACAGTGGAGGTGAATGCCGACGCCATGCGTGAGCAGGTGGCCGCACAGGCAGCTGCCCTGCGGCGGAGGTACGTCAGTCCCATGCCCCCCTCGCCCCTCCATCAGCTCACCCTCACCAACGAGCTGACAAGACAAGCCAGAGAAGACGATGACAATGGCGATGGAGGCGATATGGCTCTGCTGCCCATGAGCCGGTCCCACGCACACGCGGCGGATGGTGACGATCCACAGGTGACGGCCATCATAGCGGAGTTGCAGGCGTTCCTCAAGGGCAGGAAGGAGGACCACCATGGCGACACATTGGTGAGGCGTGACGCCATCGACCCCCGCCACTCGACGGGCCGGCTGCCCACTGTGGCCTCTGAGTCTGAGCTGCCTCAGCAGCCGTCGACCTCTTTCCAGGAGGACGACGACAAAGCCACCCTGGGCCCTCCACCGCCCCTAGCAGACCTTGAGACGGCTGATGCCGCCATCTGTGAGCGGCGCGAGTGGACTGTCGGCCAGGCGCCGTTGGCAGGAGCCGGCGTTGAGGATGACGACGCCGTCGCCTCTGTTGAACAAGAGCAGGTCGAGGACATTCATGTCACACCGTCGCCGGCAGCAACAGAAGTGACGCACGACGAGGATGCCGCAGTGGCGTCACCCGATGCTGCACCACTGGAGGAGCCACCAGTGGTCCAGGAGGAGCTTGAAGAGGATGTGGGGGATGACGCTGTTGAAGAGCAGGAGATGGATGAGGTGGAGGGGACGAACAGCGATGCGCAGACGGCAGATGAACCGCCACAGGAGCAAGTGGATCCAACTGTCGAGTCTGACGGGGACGACCACACTCTCGCCATCGCCACCGCCGACACAGCAGAAGCCATGCCACAGCCAAGAGACACCCCCTCTGTAGAAGATGAGAAGGGACCGGGGCTCGAGCAGCAGCCGTTGCATGGTGAAGAGGGTGAGGACACTCCCACCTTCAGCGGTGACGCGGTGCCATGCTCCCCCTCACGGCCCTTCGTGCTGCCCCGCTCCCTCCCGCCCCCGCCCCCGATGCTCATGCAACCTCTCCTCGTCGACCAGACACCAGAACCGCCACAAGAAGACAGCCAAGCAGACGGCACAGAAAGGCCTGGCGATGGCGATAACGATGGCAAGGAGGCTGGTGCGGCGGAGGACATCAGCAGCAGCGGCGGGGAGAACGACGATCGCAACGAGGAGGGGTACTACGACTCGTGCGACTCAATTATCCCTGGTGTGGCTGTGGTCACCAATTCTGAGATGCCCGTCACCCCCGATGGCGACGGGGAGGGCGAGGGCGTGTGGGAGGAGGCGCACGAAGACACCGATGACGACCAGGGCGATGGTGCTGGGCAGGAGAGCCAGCTGGATGGGCAGGCGATTGAGGAGTCCATCGTCGTCGAGGAGGAGCCTGTGGATGCTGATGATGCGTCTCGTGGTGCTGTCATCGATCTGGAGGAGCCGTCTGAGCCACCCGTTGACGATCAAGGAGACCAGTCGCCGTCCAGCCCTCCCGTCGATTGGCCCGGGCAGGATGGAGAGTCCGCCCGTCCGCAGATGGAGGCAGCCGCCGGGCAGCCAGACACCGCTGGCGTGGTCGAGGAGGCAATCGAAGCAGACGACGGGGCTGTCGATGGTGAGCAGCAGATGGCCGATGAAGACGAGGAGGCAATCGATTCTGAGTCAGCCGCACCACAAGACACCGGCAAAGAGGGTGCTGGTGAGGAGCAAGGAGGAGATTTCTTCGAGGACAGTGACGAGGACGGCGGTGTCGAGTTCGAGCCGTTTGTGGATGCCCAGCAGGAGGCCAGTGGTGCCGACGGAATGCATGGCGACGATGAGGAGCGACGAGGGCTGCTCTCCTCCCAGCTCGCCGGCTCGTCGGGTGACGGTGGAGAGGAGGTCTCGTCTCAGACGCGTGACGATGTGGCGGCTGCTGACGACGATACAGGTGCAAGGCCGCCCTTGTTCTCCCTCTCTGCCGCGCCATTCACAGCCGATGGTCCAGACGCACCTGGCGTGTCGTCATTCAGCTCGTCCCCGTCTTTTCCCCCACCAAACCCCCCTCCTCCCCCCCTCCCTGCCGGCCTCACCATCCGCCCATCCCACATCGACTTTATTCGGGACAGGGGCCGTTCATTGCGGATGGCTGGCACGGTCGAGGACGACGGCACGCCCGCGCTAGGCGACCCTGCAAGCCTCAAGGTGCCCCCACCTATTGTCGATAGAGAGGCTGCGGCCGAGCCCCCTTTAGCTGCGGATGCTGCCAAGGCGGACACCACGCGCACTGTGGTCAACATCGACAGGCGGGTCGGCAATGAAGACCGAGTCTCTTCGCAAAGGCGCGTGCAGCTCGTCAGGAGAGAGCCCATCCACCCGCACCCACCACAGGCAGGAACCAACCAGAAGCGGAGCGTCAGGAAGGAGGGGGTGCGTCAGAGGGAGAGAAGGCCGCCGCCGGCCGCCAGTGCGGTGCCGGTGCCATCCATCTCTCTGCCTCACGACAGGCCGCCCGTCCCACCTCTACCTCGTGTGCCGCCAGCCGTGCCTCTTGTCCCTGACCCCGTTGGCTTTGACGAGGCGCCCTTCGATGTGTGGCCGGTCGGTGAGGAGGCCCACACACGGGCAGCTGCGGCAGCGGCGGACATCCCCCCTTTCAACAGCCATGTCGAGCGTTATCCACTTGGAGCGGGAATCGCTGGGGGCTACCCGATTCATGTGCCAGCAATGGAGGAGGAATGGTCCGTCGACGGCGAGAGGGAAGACGACGAGCTTCAAGACGAGGGCCGCATCACCCGCTTCTCGCGGCTGCCTCTCCCCCTCTCTGACGACATGGGCCTCATGCCCCCAACGATCCCCACCCTTTACGAGAGGCCCTTTACCGCACCCCATCACGTGGACAGACGCATCATCAGCCCCATCCGTGAGCGCATCGTGCACCGCGGAGGCCAAGCGGCGGCTCGCGCCGATGTTGATGACGACAAGACTTCGGTTGCGTCGACCGCTCCTGACCCCGTCCCCGATGAGCACATGTGGGTGGGGGCGGGGCTGCCGATTGGACGGAGGGAGGCGTGGGTTGAGGGTGAGGGTGAGAGGAAAGGGCAGGGGCAGGAGGGGCCAAAGGCGAGCAGTGGCGTGGTCATCGAGGTCGACATGATGGACGACCTGACGGCAGAGGACAGGTGAGTGAGTGTGACAGAGGCAGGCACGCAGCCGGGCGCACACACACACAAAAGGTGTTCCTTCTGTCTTCGCTCAGGTTGCGTATTGAGAGGCGGCGTGCGCGGCAGCGGCAGCTGTTCCTCAAGCGCCGCCAATACAGACAGCACAAGACCTCAGCCGACACACCACAAGAACCACCCCAGCCCCAGCCGCCCGTCGCGCTTCCCAGACTGGTCCATCGTCGCACCGCATCCGAGTCAGGACCCCTGCCAGACACGCGCCCTCCACCAATCCGGCACCACGTGCCATCTCTGCCGCCTCTCCCGCCCCTCCCGCGTCCACACACTATCGACTCCCCAGGAGTGCCGGTGGTGGAAGACCCCTTCTGGGTCGAGAGGCGTGGCTACGCAGCCATACATCTGAAGGGGGCAGGGGCGATGGGGCGGCCGGACGATGGCGAGGCACATTCACATCTCTCAGCTGTGCCACCCATGGCACAAGCAGTGTCGCCTGTGCGTGTGCAGCAGCAGCAGCAGCAGCAGCGGGAGTCATTTCCAGAGAGAGAGGGAGAGGAAGGACCTGAGAGTCGGCGGGCAGCACCACCTGCTCCACCCCCAGCAGTGTCGATTGGCCGGGCGTGCAACAGGAAGCTCATACGAAACGCCCTGCAGAACGTGTGCTTGGCAGGTGAGCGAACCAGAAATGAAGAAGAATGGGCGTCATGTGTGTTGTGTGTGTGTCATGATTTCTGTGCGATCCATTGGCCGGCTCGTGTCAGGTGAGCCGAATCGTCCTGTGCGTGAGGAGGTGCTGCAGAAGTTCGATGGCGAGCTGAAGCGCTTCGACGCCTTTGTCATAGTCTTCAACGGATCACTGGGGCGACACGACTTCAGGGCACTCTACGCCTACGACGGACAGCAACTCATACGCGTGAGACACACACATACGATCCATCAACCAAACAAGGAAGAAGCCATCCGTCTGTCTGTCTCTGTCTCCCCGCAGGTGTTGGCTCGGTTCAACTGCCCCGCCACTCTGGAGAACGGCATGGCCGACCGCTTCTTCAGGTACGACACGGCCACGCGCGAGTTCCGAGAGCTCCCCGGCGTCGAGCGGCTCTCTGCCGTGACGGATGCCGTGTCGCTCAAGGCGAGTGTGCTGCGGAGGAAGGGAGCGGGAGGGCGGGGCGGAGGGGGGCAGTACCCGAGGATACCGAAGAAACCTGCCTAGAAATGTCGTGTGCGGTGTGCGGTGTGTGGCGTCTACGTGTTGGTGGGGGTTGGCTTTTGATTGGACCGTCTGCTGTCCCTCACTCACATGTCAGTCATTCAAACGGTATGATGATGCACGACGAGCCTGAAGCATGCAGTGTCCGCCCGCATCAGTCCACGCATCCAGCCACGACCATTCACGCACACGCAAGAGTGTCGCATCACATCACGCGCACCCATGCGATCCATCCACCATGCGCACCGCAAGCGCCACGCCGCGCCACGTGCTTGGTGTGTTGTGTTGGAGGGTGACTGACTCAGTCATCTCCGCCTCCCTCCCTGAGCCGTCGTTTGGCCTGCTGTTTGGCGCTGAGTTTGACGGACCGCTTGCCGCCGGTGCCGATGTCGTCGGCACGGCTCGTGGGCTCCTCCCGCTCCTCCAGTATCACCTCCACGTGGCAAGGGCTGCTCATGTAGGCTGCACACACACACATCACACACACACACATCCATCCTGGCGTGTCCATGTGTCGGAGGAGGGGTTTCAGTGTGTGTGTGGTCATTACGGTTGATGCGTCCGTGGGCCCTGTAGGTCCTCCGTCTGCCCTTCTGCGCACGCTGGACCAAAATGTGCTTGATCTCCAAGTTGTCGATGTCCAAATTCTTCAACTGCAACGAACCGCACCGCGCGACTCACATGTGTGCCTGCCTCCCATCGTGTGTGTGGTTGGCCGGGAGTGCGTGTACCTCAGCGTTTGACTCGGCGTTGCGCAGCAGGTCGAGAATGATGCGGCACGACTTCTGCGGCCATCGGCCCTGCGTGTGCTTGAACGTCTTGACCTGCGGCGTGCGGCCGGCGCAGCCTGCACACAGCACACACACACACACACAGATATGTCTGCCTGGATGTGTGTGGGAGGGAGGGAGGGAGGGAGGGAGGGTATGTGTGTGTGTTTGGCTGCGTACCGTTGAAGACTCTGAAAGGTATGGCCTGTTTGTGTTCGATGACGTCCTCGAGGTACTTCTGGGCCTTCTTGAGAGGCATCTTCTTGATGGCCTGCGCAACCTCATAGGTGTTCTGATTGACGCACACGCACACAACGAACGCAACACCCACAGAATGACACAACGCTTTGTCTGTTCGCGCTGTCTGTCTGTCCTCGCTCCCCTCAGGCACACTCGATGTGTGACGTCCCCCCCTCCCCGCCTCCCCCGCCGCCTCCCCTCCCACCTTGAAGTGCACGCGCAGGTCCACACCCTTCCCCTTGGCAGCTGCAACACAAACACAACACGCGCGCAACCCACCCCAGATGTGGCCACCGCCAGATCTGCATCTCGTGTCCGCTTCCCGTACCTTTGCTCGGGTTGGTGGGTTCCCTGCTATACTTGACCATCGTGCCGCCTCTTCCCCTTCCCCTCTCTTTCCGCAGCGTGTGCGAGCTTGGAAATATGGAGAGTCTAGGGTGCTCCATGAACCCGCTGCTGCTGAGTGGAAAGAGGTTCGTCGCTGAAGTGTGGTTGAGGATAGGGTCTGGCTACAGCGGCTTGTCGTGTGCTGACGTCAAAGATGCAGATCTCCGCCTTGCTGCTCTCCTTCATTCCGCCCTTCGTCCCGCCCTTCGTCGCCTCGCAAGCTGCACCAGGCTGGTCGTCTCTTCTCGGCAGTTATCTCGCGCGGCATCGCGGCCTGCAGTCATCAACCGAGGCCTCATGCGAGATCTCGTCCTCTCCCTCCCTGGTGCAGCTGGTGACCAACGGTATCCTCAAGGAGGAGCGGGACCCCGTCGTCCTTGACGACCTGGGCGCCCTCACCAACACGGTCATTCTCGAGCTCGATGTCGGCAACTTCACCATGACCGTTGGCCCTGCATCAGCTAACGAGATCCGGGTGGCAGGGGATGACCTCTACGCCAAGACCCGGTTCCACTTCGACATCCGCAAGTCGTATTTCGTGGACGCGGGGGAGGGCGAGGCGGTCGCCACCGGGGCGTATGCCATCGACTTTGGGCCTGACGAGAATGTGACGTGCGATTTTGACAGGATGGAATATGAGATGGAGCTGACCTCTGCCGACTGGCTGCTGGGGGCGCTCACCGCCGCAGGCACCGAAACTCGCGAGGTGAGTCACCGTGACCATCCCATATATCTCTCTCCGTGTGTATGTGTGTTTGATGGGTGCAGGGCGAGATAAAGCGGATGGTGTCGCGGATGCTGTGTCGGCAGGTGATTAAGAAGGTCACGGGCGAGAACCTCCTGGACACCCCGCCCCCCGAGATCCAACTCATGAGCTGGTACTCCTCCGGCTTCCATTACATCTTCCTCGCACTCGGCCTGGTCGTCGGCTTTCTGCTTGGCATGTGCGGCTTTGTGGGCTACAAGAGGTGCAAGAGGAGCTGGGCTGAGGCGGAGGTGCAGGGTGGTGGCCGGGGGAGGGGGAAGGGCGGGGCGGGTGATGGGCTGGGAATGCACAATGCCATTGATGCTGCTGGATGCAGTGACGGAGGGGGGTCCGGGGGGTCGGGGGGGTCGTGATGTGAAGATCTAATGTGTCTTGTGCCATGACTTGTGGCGGATCTCTCTGGTCTCCTCAGTCAGTCTTGCCGTTCCGTGACGAACTCGGGGTGAATCGCAGGCTGGTCCCTGCAGACAAGGGAATCGACCTGTGATTGCCCGCTGGCTCCTCACCGATCGGCAAGACTCTTGACACCGAGCAGAGGACACTATCAGAGACACAGCACAGGCCGTGTGCGGCACGTTCATTTAGTGGCCGACAGGCAGGAGTAACCAACGAGTGCTTTTTTGTCACAGTATACACAGTCTTTTTGAAACGGGTCTACACGGCGGTGTCTGTGTGTGTGGATGTGCGTGTGTGTGTGGGGG